CGGCTTTAGCATTTTGAGCGAGATCATATTTGCAAATCATAATGCTGAAATCATATGAATGAACAATAAATAGATAGAAGGCACCAATCCACATTGTCTCAACATGATAACTCACCACTCTTTGATCTTTTGAAAAAGCCAGCGCTATAAAGCCTGTAACTTTTTGAACATTCCCTCTAAGCTCAAATTCCACGTAATTTTCAGACTTCACGGACACCAACTTCCAGGTGACAAGAAATGCACAAGATGACTCGGTACACATAGCAGGTCTTAAGCATCCTTTTGTTAAAGCACACTCGTGTAATGTAATGTCTGGAAAAATGGCGTTGGCAAAGGTAGCTGACAAAGCCAAGTTAACAAGCACTGTAATCAGAAGGAACATAACTATGTACCAAACAACATCAATTGTTGCGCTCTATCAAGGACAGAATGTTGTTAAAGTAATTGAATGGGTTTAACAAACTTCAGCCTTCAGTATTAAAGATAGAAGGCCTATCGACCCATGTTAATCCTTGCAGTTTGTATTACTGTGGAGGTCTAATTTTGTTTTTAATGTATTAACGGAAGGTGCTGATATTACGTGTTCCGGTAGAGAATTCCAGTAATTCACTACTCGGTACGAGAAACAAAACTCCAGATGTAAAATATTTGATCTCGGTTTTTGAACTTTCCTCGAATGTCCTCTTAAATGATCAGTCCTAGATGGAATTAAAAGATAATACATGTTAATACCAATGTCATCGTTCAGCATATGATAAGCCCCCGTATTTTACGGTAAGATAAAGAAAATAAGTTAAGGTGTCTCAATCTGTCTTTATAAGATAGGCCAGATAGACCTTGTACCATCTTAGTACCTCATCGTTAGACTCCTTCCAGCATCTCTGCTTCATACTTGAAGCAAGGACTCGCTGCTTGAATCCCATATTCTAAATGTGATCGCAGGTAAATCGGGAATAGTAATCTAAACATTTCATCTAAATACTGGAAAGACCTACGAGTAGACCATAATAGCCTATAGCCTTTCGCAGCAGCAGCCTTACTGTGACTAGTGGTTTTGAGATCACTGCTTAATATGACTCCTAAATCTTTATAGTTTCTTACTTTGGGTAGCACGAATCCACATATTGTATAGTGATACAGTTCATCATAGTTATTTATTTGCATCACTACATTCTTATTAGGATTTACTTCTAGTGACCACCTGTCCAACCATGACAACAATGAGCTAAGATCATTCTGTAATACTATTCTATCCGACATACTGTGTATGGGTCTCCAAATTTGTATGTCATCAGCGAAGAGTAGAACGAATGATTTTGCTATAGTTGGTAATTCATTTACATAATTTAAAAAAAAGTGAAGAGAACCGAGTATTGTACTCTGAAGAACTCCACTTTTTACAGTTACCCACGAGGAGAGAGCCCCATTTACCCTTACCCTTTGTCTCCTGTCACTGAGAAAGTTACTTATCCAGTCGACGACTGTATAATGGATTCCAAAACGTTCCAGTTTGAATTTAAGACCATAGTGGTAGACTTTATTGAAGTTCTTACTTAGATCTATAAAGATCACATCCACAGGAATATTCCAATCTTTTGCAGCAGCCCAATCCTCTCTTGCAATGAGATTTGTCAAGCATGATAGACCTCTCCTAAAACAATGTTGTTTCCTGGAGAAAAGATTATTCCCTTCAACATAGTTTATAGCAAATATTCGAATGATTTTTTCCATCAGTTTTATAACTGCACCAGTTAAGCTAACGGGCTTATTGTTACTAATTAAATCCCTACTCCCAGACTTATGCACCGGACTTATTATAGCGTCTTTCCAGTCTCTTGGCAGTCTGGACTGCATCAGAGACATGTCAAACAATATCGCTAATGGTTCAGCAATTACATTTGATATGGCTTTCATAATCCTAGGATGAATACCATCAGGGCCACTGGACTTATCAGGTTTGAGATGCTGAAATAGCCTAAAAACAGTACCTTTCTCAATGACTAAAGGGTCCAACAGCGAGCCGCCACGATCCTAATTAATCGTTGGTCGTTCCTCATTACCGATGGAAAACACTTTACTGATAAAGCTTCAGCTTTCTCAGTATCATTTTTTGTCAAGATAAACGGATTTTCTCGTATCGAAAGTGATAGATTTCCATCGCTTCTCTGAGTTTGCATTCTCAAATACGAGAATAACAGTTTTGGACTATATCTAGAATCCCTAAACAATTGTTTTTCATATGATCGTCTAGTCCCACTTGCTTTACAGGCATTCCTAATCTTACAATAACTGGATCTGTATTGTTCTAAGCCAGTAGAGATGAACATATTCCAGTGCTTATTCCCTTTTCTAAGAACTTTCCTGACTGTTTTAGTTATTTATGGTGGACTGTTATTTGGTCTTCGCGGGCTGCAATTAAACGCAACTCAATTTCGTAAATGTGCTTTTCAGCTTAGCAACCAATCAGAATGTGGTAGGAATTATTATATCCGCCATCTTTGTACGTAATGGCGGCCGACTTTCTTCGTTCTGTGCTTCTTTTAGCTATTTCTTTTGTGTAATGTAATTAATGTTTCAATGTGTTAAGATGCCGCAGTTAGTGTAATGTTCTACATGTTGGTGAGAAGTTTACTTCGAACCACCATTGTTTTTTGGGTTTTTGCTGCTTCTACTCTAGTCAATGTATTTCTTCAGTCAAGCTGGTTAGTCTTATGTTTTAAAATGGAAATCGCTTTTGTTTTGACTTATTTTCTAGATATCCAAAGCCGAAGTTCGTTTTTTCTTAGCTGAAATAACTGTTGCTGTCTCATGTGACTAACTGTCCACATGTTCATTCCTAACTGTCCTTTATGAGGTTATCGGCAAAATGAAAGGAAACAATTTCCGGTTTTTAATTTTCTTCAGTATTGCGGACAACAATATCTCACCAACGAGTCAAACTAATACTTAGTGCCTAGCAGTAGCGGATATCAGTATTGTTTTCGAAAGTACCCAGGCTTCCGATAACCATAGACGAAGTCACAGATGCTACCAATCTATTGCAGAGGGTTTGTTATGAAAAAATATGCCACATAGCAGCAATGGAGGGGTTGTACGTATTACGTAGTACGTTAAAGCAAGCTTAACATTGAAAAGCTAGAAATCTGATATCAGTGTGTAGTGTATGTTTGGTGTTTTGGCCACAAAAGGAAGCCGAAGGGTCATGATCTGGTAGTAAAAAGGTAACTAACTGTTATTAAGCTCACCTTTTTATAGACCATAATTCGCCACTCGCAAATTTGTGTTTTTTTACGGTATGATGTCAACCGTTATCTAATATGTTCACCCTTACGATGAAAAGTACCTGCGAATTCTCGCATTCATATTTGAATTATTTTGGGACAACTGTCTTCCAGTTTGATTGCTTCGTACGCCCTGGGAGACTAGATTCCTACATTATTCACAGTTCCAGTATAACTTTCTCACGCAGTAAGTTCAAAGTAAACACTAGTCTTTCTAAATAAGCATGTTAAGCTAATATCCGTATTCTCTATTTCAGTTGATCGATGAAGACATGTACCACGTGCATCTGCTGTATATTGTTATTTTACTCCAATTCTAACTGTTATATCTTCTGAAAAATAAAATTGCTATATGCAGCAAATACAGGCTTATTGTTTTGATGGTGATAGGGGGGTTCATGGGTTTTTTTTAGCAGGACGGAGATATGAACCAAATCACCTTATGAAGAGCGCCTCCAATCACTTAACCTCTACTCATTAAAGTATAGACGTCTTAGAGGTGACCTATTTACTTACAGTATCCTTAACACTTCTGGACATTCTCTTAAACACCTACTTGAGCTTAGTCCCAGAAACTAGAGACACGACATAGCAGAATGGACTGTAGACGCAACTTCTACTCCTTAAGAGTTGTCGAATGCTGGAATTCGCCGCCCGCCCTGAACTAGTCCAAGCGACTTCCCAGGAGTCCTTTGGGAGGCGACTGGATCTTTTATTGTTAACATACCTAGGTTCCTGCTTGGATGTTTTGGTGATCCCCTGCTACTAGACACGGAAGCCTGAACACATGAATTAAGTGATGAGAGGCTCGATTATCATAAGTTTCTTGCAACGATTAAGTAGATAAAACAAAGTAGCATTACGTTCAAAAATTTATTCGAGAATTTTCATTAAGAATCGAATATGAAAAAAAGGTTTAAAATAAGTTCCAGTCTAAAAGTTGCCTTGGTAATGTTAAGCTGCAGTTTTTGTTGTTTTTTCCAAACGAAAGGGTAAAAGAAGTTACTCAAAAAGCACTGGAAGTGGTTGTGAGATTAAAATGGACATCGAGTATCCTTTTTATGATCTGCTGTTAGTTGGGTCTCCCGTAAACAGATCCATAGGGCCATAGTTCTAAGGGCGAAACAGTTCTTTGGATCTGTGAAGGCTCACTCCTGTTGCATTCTAAATGAGAAAATAGTAATGAATTTAGTCAGAAATGTGGAATAGATAAATAACCAAATTACATGTTTTTTAGCAAAGAATTTATGCAGTTGTGATTTACTTTGAGTTCATGAATATTAGATAAAGTCAGCTACTATTACTTGTGCAAAGCATAACATGGACGTAGTACCGTATCTCAATGCTTTTATTATTTTGCTCTTATTTAAGTATTACTATGCATCTGCGTCTAGTTTAACAGGAAGACATACAAACAGAGTTAGTGTCTGATGAACTAAAAGTCCCAGTTGTCAAAAAGATTCTTAATATTTGTCCACAGCCAGCTGCATTTAATTGAGACACAGAACACTCATCTTCTAAGACTGTATACCGCTCTTCTGCGGGCAAATAAAAGCTCACACACTTAGCTATCCTGCTACCGATGTTATTGCTGGGGAAATTGTTTAATGACAGTGATCATGAAATATGGTCAGTGATAGATGTACAATCTAGAAATAAACACCAAACATACTTATCGATATCTTATAATGTATGACAGCAACAGTACCAAAAGCACTTTTTTCCTATTTTTAATCAGACTGATTTGAATCAGTATACTCATCAGAAACCGGCAACTCTACTTACTAGACTGATCTGTTTCGTTACAGGCTTCAAGCACTATAATTAAGTATACCATAATTCTTTCAACTAAACTGAATTATACGACAACCAAGAATACTAAACAAAGCAAGTGTCATAGTTATTGTTTCATTTGCACAGGCATATTGCTTAAAGTAATTAAATGGACATAATTAAGACGATAAAACACAAACACGAAATATAGGCTGATTGAACTTACCTAAGAGAAGACAAAGAATATATATATTGCTTTCCGACTGAAGACAACAGGCAGTTGTTCATAAAAACATAGTTTATAGTACAATAAACATTTCTACAGTAAAATCATGCACTGACAGTCTATCTGGTAACAATCAACTATGTGAATTAAC